GTGGGAGTAGACAACGCGCCTGTATTCTTGGTTGTGCGACCCTGTCGCTGATAATGCGCTGTGTGGTTCTCGGTTACCGAGAGCTTGGGCTGCGCTTCCCTTGAAGCCGCGAACGTGCTGTCCGAAGTTGCACCGCGTGCAGAAGACGAATAAGGGCTCTGCCAGCGGGAGATCTCAGAATTAGCGAGTCTGGGTGTCTTCCGTGATGGAAATAAGAGGACGGCAAAGTAGCCCAGCGGTGCAACGTGAGCCCTGCTTGAACCATGCGGATGCAGTGTCCGAATCCCGAACTCTCAAATTCCGGAAGAAGTGGTGCCGTTTCCAATGACCTCGACGAGGCACATAAGCCGCAGCTGGATGATGTCTGCAGGGCGGATCCTATGTGCACGCAGTCGGTTAAGGACCCTCGTGTGCGATACGGATTCCGCTCGGTGAATCCAGCTGTAGAAGCAAAGGACGCGATCACTCGATTGTTGGGTGACAACGTAATCGGGTCCCCGGCCACTACAAGCTGTGCTTGACGAACGAAAAGCTCTCCAAGCTCGCTTCTTGGTTCCTCATGAAATCCCGGTAGATGTGTATCGCATTCGACCTCGTACTTAAAGAGGAGGCGCTCCTAGACCCGCGATGCGGACAATTCCTGTGGTGTGCGCCCCTAGCAAAACCGCTGCAGATGACGAAGAGCTCTTTGAGCGATAGGTGCAACTGCACCGGCTATTTTTATCGCTGTCAGCTTACAGTTGAGCCACAAGAGGTGGACGTGCGCGTTAAACGCCATCTTTGGTCGGAGTTTGCCAGACTCAGGCGCGTCACCGACTTCCTTTGGACTGTCGCCCTGTGACATATGGATTGCTCCATCAAGCTCCCGCGAGCTCTGTGGTCTCTCACACGGATGAGTAAGCGACCGCGGCATATCAGGGCCATAGCTTGAGCTCATCTCATGGCCCTTTGGCTGGTCTGGATATTGCCGAGGTGCGCAGGGCGTACGACAACGCCAAACGCCATGATCCGGTGAGCCCTAAAATTAACTAGTGCATACGTCATCGCAAGTAATTTCTTGTCGTGAAGTGGGTGCAGCCTTGAGCCGGCGAGATTAGAACGCGTTCACCCGATCTTGCCCTTCTGCGTCTGCTTGTAGCAGTGCGCATCCGATGGCAAAGTCCAAAAGCGTCACTGAAAAAACGATTAGGGTCTGCAACGCCAGTTTTGGCGTGTGAAGGCAGCTGTCTTTGACCCCGTCAGAAGCCTCTCGATGCTCGGTGCTCCACATCCTTGTTAAGGAGATTCGACAATGGCCGTGTCATCTCTGCGTAGCTTTCGCTATTCTTGTGCAGGTAGTTAGCGCGACCAAGTCACTTGCGCAAGTCCTTTTGATTCTTTGGAACCGGCCAAGATATTATGGCCTCAAATTTAGCAAGATTTGCTTAAGGCCACGCATACCAATGAAGCACTTTAATGAGGGGATATTCTCAGCGTCTAAGATACACTTATCAGCATAAGTATACAGCTTATTCGTGCGCATGCACTCGAGCACCGTTCTCACCTAGACGATGTGGTTCTCCTCGTCTGCCCTCTCGTGCCCCGAAAGACTGGGGACGGAGATGCTGTCGAAGTATGTTTGTGCTTACTTCCAGTAAGGTCTGAACAATTGCGTTACAAGACGATCAAATGTTGCTGGCGCATTTGACAGCCCTTGTAGCATCACCAGACACTCCAAGAGCATTCCGCTCGGAGTACTCACCACTGTCAACGGAATATCACTCACTTTAATGAGTAATCAGTACTAACCATCGACCAAGTCGAGTGCGCTGCACTTTGTATGGCCAGCCATATTGTTCTGGAGAACATCCTTTCTAAGAATCCGCGTCTGTGCCGGAATGGCGTTGTCATTTCCCCGCGACAATCCAGACTGGTTAGAAGCGAGACATCGGCTCGATGACCATTGATGCGCATTACGATCCGAGGGTGACTGGTGTCTACACAGATGAAACACCGTCGGGTGTTCGAAAGTTGGTTTACCTTAACGTCCTGACGGAGGATCAAACGCAAATAGACCCAGATCGCTCAGAGACCGCTAAATCGTTAATGTACATGCAGGAATAGTGACAATAGTTGCCGTGAACTCCGGTGCTGCTGGGGACCAGGAAATTGTTAGAATACGTCTTTCGGATGTATCCGTACGAATAAGCTGTTTGGCTGAACATTCGTGGCGACCAAATAGGCGGGTGATGTACGATCGATTCACAGCATGACATTGCTTTTAACAATGCACCAAATGCTTGTTTGCTGGCAAAATGCAAAGTGAATATACATTACGGTCCTGGACTCGCAAAACTATTTGCTATCCTCAGCCTGCTGAATGACTCTGATGTTCTCAAAGATCCTCAAAGACTCTAGTAAATTAAGATGAGCGCCACAATTAATTTCTAGTATACGTACCAAACAGCAAGTGCCACGTCGCTTTCCTTTCCTTGAACCCTATCATACTTTCTCTCGAATGTACCATGCGGCACGGAACTCGTTTAAGCACTTGTACCGTCTTCATGGCGAGACTCTCAACTATAAAACACCCAACTTCTCCATCTGGGCTGAAATTACCAACGGTGTCGCACCTTGTCAATATATCGTTCAATCATTGCCTCAGAGAAAAGTGGAACGTTTTCGTTCGAGGTGAAATTTATGATATAATTATTAGATACTTTAATTTTGTCATAAGCAATTTGCAGACAAAATTAAAGTTATTAAAAGCAAATAATGGTTCTAACTAACGTATGTTGGAGCAAGCTGAGATTTCACAGCAGGCATAAAAGCAGTGATACATCTTCTTGTCCTGCAGCTCGGGAACAATTAGTTCCCACATCACCATATTGCCAGCTCCCATATCCACCTAACTACTAGACGTGCAACCTCTTCATTGTACTTTCAAAATTGACCATGCCTATCGTCGGTCACATGCCACAAAAGCCTTTGCTGAAACGTCTATCTCCTGATCCATTGCAGGTGAGTAGTCTTTCATCACTACCTCATACCGAGGTTCTTATCAGCTGATGATATTATCTCTACGAGATATGCACATTATATTCCAAGCTGAAAAAGTTAACACAATGGTACGGATGGTACAAGAGCAGGTGCTGAGCTCACCATTCGCTACGGTGAAACTGTCATGTTGGACATTGATTGCTGAAAGTTGAATAGCTATTACCAAGAATGCTGCGATTTCATTTATCCCTAGTTGAGTAAATTCAGTGGTGTCAAAAGGACCTCCGCGCGAGTTACACCCGAAAAAAAAGCGTGTTTTATGTGATTGATCTGGCTCTTAGAATCAAACATTGCGTCATACGGAATAGTCGTCACTAAAAGCAGTGTGACATCATTAAAGCTTTCTTCGTAGGAGCACAAAACGTGGGTAAGGTATGAGAGGGTCAAATTTCATTGTTTTCGCCGACTGTATGTTTCAGAAAGACTGACGGCAAGTTCGGATTGTGCATAATTATGACAAGCTAACGACAGCCACTATTCTTGCGCAAATGCGGATTTTTTTGTGGAAAGGATGCGCTCCAGAACAGTATGGACGACTATTCTCTGGTTAGTGCCCTATACCTGGCCGATGATGCTGGTAAAAACAGTAATATTCTTCTCAATGCAGTGAGTACGATGAGCAAGATGCTCTGAGAGCGACTGCTTATGTCACATTGACTGTATAACTCACCAGCGCCAATCAAAATCCTTCGAAGCAGCTGTTCAGGTCACATCGTGCCTTTGCGCACCTATTTGGCGATAAATTCGTTCATAGACGTACAGAATCCATGAAGTCGGATGTGGTAAACCATTACAAACACTTGGGATCAGCAATTGCGTGTATAAGAGTAAGCTATTTTCCATCATATACAAATAGGTTTTCGGAACCGGCGATTTCCTTTCCGGATTGCTTATTGAGAAGCATCGCTCGCGGGTAGATCTCGCAAAGATATAGTCCATTGTTGATCAGTCTGTAATTTATAATATAAAGGGCTAGAGGGTGTGGCTATGCCTGGCCAACTACTTGCACAGGTACAGTGCTAACTCTGCCGATATGACCCATCCATCAACGACCGCCTAAGAGAGATGTCAATTGGTGCTGGAGAGCGACAGAAGAGAGGTTATTTGGCTGCAAATGAAAGCTTCATACCCGCCCTGATTCTGTTTCTTTCAAAGACAGATCAGCCATTCATGTCGTCTGTGCTGCTTCGACCTTTACTCAAAGTCGCGCTTATTTTGAGCGGATGCCAATGGCCATGAATGCGTGATCACATTGAAGTCTTGTTGGCTATGAAGAATCGCCCTATTCATGATGAACGGCTACTTTGCAGCGAAGCATGCCCTCATCAAGTTCAGAGTGTACCTGCTTGGCTTTCAGCCGTTTGTGATCGATACGAATTATGCATCCTGCGCACACCATATTTACCACAGCATCCATCTCAGAGATCGTCAAGGTTTCTTGCCGAAAATTCATTCGTATTGGGGTATCAGCCGGCTTGGCTTTATGTGGCGGAGCTTTCGCTTTTGCGCCGCCCAAAAAATTGCATGACATGATGGAGAAGTCGTCAATTGTTGAGGGAATAGCTTACAGATTGCGGATCAGACGTAATATGTGCTGCGCTGTCGATGGCATCGAGAAGACAAACGTTTGGGAGATCAGATGATGCTTTCAAAAAGTCATGTATTCATGCACCGCTCTTAATCTCTTAAAGCTTGCTGGGTCACACCGCTGATGGCGGTACAGTAAGATGAGGAAGGGTCTCTCACGCACAAAAAACTGTATGTGTGTTTTGGTATACCTCGGCTGGCCTCCTTGGAAGAGAACACACATAGCTCGTTGGGCGCTATTTTCTGCTGACCCAACGTAAATAAATTGGTTAGCACCCATGTACGCACGTATGAAACGTGTCAAGGTGTTGGAAATCGCAGATTGATGATTATGGCGAACGCATAATCGCGTGGTGGAGGATATCCTACAAAAAATTTGAGCAGATATACCGGTTTGTTGGAACAAGTTACTTCTTTCCTTCGAGTTTGCACTGGAAAAACACCATACATGGCTTTAAATTCCATCCTCTTTCTTTAACTCGTTGAGTAAGTACTTGGATCTTTCGAAAACGCCATGAAGTGGCCCCGGTCTTAATAAGAGAAAATTATCGATACAACTCGATTCACAAATATTAGCTCGGATACAGTTCATATAATACTTCAGAAATTCATATTCAATGATATTATGGGGCGTCATTCATGGAAGACGCGATGCTTTCGGAGAGGGCAGGCAACACATCGATATACACACATAAAGTGTGTTGTGAGAAATAACTCATCTGATTGACCTACCTACACATGTTGTGTTTGCGGTCTAAAAATAATGTACATTACTCTTCATTTGAACATTCACCGCCGTGGCCGGAAAAACAACATCAAAATCACGAGGTCAATTCTATTGTATTTGTGATTATGTCGATGTCATATCGAATTCTCGCATTTACGGGCCAACCGGTTGCAGAACCCCCAGTTGAAGACGGAGAAACAACTCAACCATTCCTTTGGGACTATGTGATCCTTCGTTCAAAGGCAGCAGTTCTGTTCTACACATACTCAATGCAATGGACGTTGATCAAATAGTGCATTAAGAAAATTGCGCATCTCAGTATCGACTGCATTCTACATTCTTGGGAATGTAGAAGTGCAGCTTTACCTGTGGGGGATTTTGAGGAATAGCCACAAAGCGTCGTCCACTCTGTAATGATAAAGGAGCGGTCTACGCTCACACTGACCACTTAGACGAAGGGTACCCACGGCTGTAACGGGGTTACACGTACCCTGTTAACTGTCACACGAGGTGGGCGTGGTGTGATTGCACCCAAATAAGAATACGGTATGTGGCTGGGTAGCCAGTAGTTTGCAAGCGGATTGCGATCCGCTAAAGTCGTACTTGTTCTAAGTATAGAACGAAAGGTCGGTGACCTAACTTACGCTTCCTCAAAGCGCAAAGCTATGGCAGCCCCGCTGCAAAGGCTATAATCTGTATCTATAGAAGTGGAAGAAAAACTATCACTTCGAAACTTTTTGAGGGATGGGATTCCACTTTGACAAAAACGACCCGGTTCTATTGCCGCTTACGACTTTTGCAACCTTTGCCTTTTCTTTTATGTGGGAGAGGCTGGGTAGCCTTGCGCAATGCGAATTCTTCGAGCGAGTGGGCCTGGCTTTTTCTCCGACTTGAAAGGGACCTGATGCTTTTATACTAGGGTCGTTGTGATAAACAAAACTCTTAAAAACATCAACTTGAGGTGATGATCTTCTACCTCAACATCCATGTTGTGGTTTCCAATTCGAAAAGTCAAGCTTCAAGAGACGATTTAGTCGGACGTTTGCTTCATAGACGCTTGCTAAATCTGGTAAATAAAAATTTAATTACATTAAAACAAAGATGCTACCATTCCTCCTCGCTATGCTACATTTATTCGGACATGCAAGGTCAAGTGACCACCTTCTGATGCCCTGGGAACCCATAATTTAAGCGATCCACCTCCCTTTGTAGGAAAGTTAAGGAAACTGGGGCGCCAGCGATCCAGATACATCGTCTTGTCTTGCAGTTCCTTGACAGTCGAATTCCATGTCGCCATGCCACCGGCTTCAACACGCACTTCGGTGAGTGAGTGGCCACCAGAGTAAATAACAACCGATACATCTTTCGTATCAATGCTAGTGAAGATGAGATTGACCATTCCGTCTCCTTTTTTCGTCCATGTGCCGTAGCTTCCAACAAAGGCTTCGTCTATAGTCTTCAAGCCCAAAGCATCGTACAATGATCCGTCATCGATCTCTCCTATCAAAGCTGTAGGTCCACATGTTGGCTGGACAAATTGAGATGCCAACCAGACAATTCGAGTTGGATCTAATCCAGCAAGCGTTGTTAGTGCAATGTTTGTCGCTTCCAATACAAACTGTGACTCTGCGACAAAATTTCCTTTGTCTGTCATTGCCGACTCGACAAGTTGATCAACAATTACACCAAACGTCTTGCGCAATAAATCTCGCGTCTCAAACGCAGCTTGTTTCGTTTTGTATGCAAGTAATTCATCCATACAATTGTTCGTTGCGGCAGGAATCTCCTGTAAGACAAGTGATGATCTGCTAAGATCTACCCGAATATCGTTAACTGTAGCATTTGGGTGCTTAATACGATAAGTGTTTACGGAGATAATTACATGGTCAGTCAAACGCTTGAGCTGATAACCACAAGTCGAGTTGGTATCCATGAGATCCTGCAGTTCCTCAACGCTGGAATGAGGCGAATTAAATGCGCTGACGTTGTACAAGAGATTAAAAACATTTTGTGCAGAGAACAAAATTTGGTCGCCGTTAACAATCGCTTGCTTCACAATAACCTCCACAATCATCATCACAATACCGGAAAATACCATGGTCGCTGGTACTTCGTAACCTAAGCAATGACATATTGCCACGGGCAAGTCTACCAAGACAACATCCGATTGATACGCCACCGCTAAAAGTTCCTCAACTGTTCCATGCGGTGCAGTAGTTTGTCGAAATCTAATATAATACGTAAGCGACCTGAGAACACCAACAATATTTGCCGAGCAAAAGAATTCTCGCTTTCTAGACTGGTAAAATGACAGGACAGCACCAAAAATGCCTGCTGTAGCTACGTTAACAATCGCAGCCAACACAGCTACGCCTTTCTGTGCAATCTCTAAGAAACAATTGTCATTTTGCGGTATGCACTCCAAAAAGCAGCTCACAGGATATGAGAGCGGACATTCAGCAATGCATTTGCCTTCAGCTTTGTCGTGTGTACTATAGCCTGCAGGACATACCCCAGTAGCATTATACGGCAACGTTCTCCTATAGCACGCTGAATCCTTCGGATTTCCAATAGTAGGACCCACCCAGTTGCGAATACGATTGCCATACCAGTCTCTTTCCATGACATCTCGGAGTTCCGCAGCTTTTGCCGATCTCCGTGTCCAAATAATCCCAAGTTGATCCACCTCGTTATCTGCACGACCATAGAACCCACTGAGCTTAAATCCTTCAGGAGCCATGACGGTCTCAGCCTTATTCGTCTGAGTTCCACTTGCAATACTGTGGTTGGCACTAGTTGTAAAGTTTAAATAAAAGACGCGAAAGTTGGAATTCTTTCTACCCCAGTGAATTTCCATCGAACAAATATATTCATCTGCTTCAAGTGCAAGTGTTACTGCTGTCCCTTCAGGTCCACCATGATCCCAAGTTGCTTCGATTGGGTTCCCAATATTAATTGAGATGGCATTTATCCGTTTATCACCACGGATGGAGATGGAACTCACATTTTGCCCAAGTCGGATACCAGCGATATCAGAAAATGCATCCCCCTTATATCCACCGAAGGCTTTGCTGAGCTTAATGTCTTCATCTAGTGCCGTCTTTGAGGCGGTCGCATTTGTACTTCCCGCTCCAAACGCAGTGATAGCCGTCAGGAACGCGACAGCTTGGAGTACTGTCCACCTTGGCATATTCAGTCTGATCTGATGGCTTACAGTCTGGACAGCTGGGAGTCAGAATCGGTAATTTTGGTGATTTATAGTTTTTTTGAAAAGTTTTGATTCAAATTGTTATAATTATTTGCTAAATGTATCATATTTAGCTCTCTGTGCATTTGCTTAGTGATGAACATGACTGCGTGAAGCCATAAACTTTAAAAAAAATCAACATGCAGGATTTGTTTCGTTCCCTGTGCCGTCTTCATGAGGCAGAAGATCCAGCCTTTCGTCTTGAAGCAGCTAATTTCTACTTTTTCACGCGAGCTTATTGTCGAGCGTACTGTTAATCGTCACGCTATTTCTATACGGACTACCACGTACAGGAAACTATACCTCTCGTTTATTGGTGAGCTTCTACCAGTGATATCGCATACGGATAGTCTTGCCTCCAACATGACGTGTGTTCTGCCATGTTATGTAGCTTACAAGGAACTAGTTATGTACAGGTAATTTTGTGATTGTCGTGTTTTCTAGAAAGTCGGCTGTTCAGCGCAAAACATGCTCTATAAAGAATCTTTTGATACTGGATAGATGTATCTACTTGTTTTGAATGAGCAGCATCCAGCGATTGAACACACTCGCCACTGATAGTTTGGGTAGTGAGGCACGAAAAGTGCACAATGACGATTGTGTGATGCTATCGTTTCAAGAGCACGTCTCAAATGCTACCACAGTCTGACATTAATTTCACTGTTTCCTCAACACTTTGTTTGAATGTTGCAGACCTTGAAATCATGATACAGAAGAAAGATTTACTCAACGCCTTAGCTACTTTTATGTCCTTGGTAGAAGTTTACCACGTGATGCTGAATTTCTTAAAACTTACCTTTCTTTGTGATCTCATGCGCATCTCCGACATCTACCCGAAGATACGTCACCTTGTTGCGTGAAGAATTAACATCAATTACATGGGTGCGGTGTCGATAGAAGAGCGCTGAAAGGAACGTAAATGCTTAAATCGCTGCATACGTATTTCTAGTGATCAAGGCGTGGCGTACTAGAGGCCACAGCCATCTCTTTCAGATTTAACTCGATAGTTATAAAGCATGATATTCATCAAAATTTCTTTCTTCGACGCGCCAGCATTCAGACGTTTCAAATTCTTTAATCTGTATAAAGGTATCTACTAGGGCTATATAACGGCTGTCGTAATTTGTAACCAGGCGGGCATGGGGCTAATCAAGAGAAGCGAGACTTTTTGAGCTTTCGAAAGTGTGGAAAATTCATTCTTCTTTTAAAGCCTTTGATTGACTACCATACGCAACGCTCTGCAGGAGTAAGCAAGATATATTAGCGTGGTCTCTTGGCTTCATCTTCTTGCAAAGATCGGATAAATCTCTATGAGCAGTATCCATCAGATGGCTCGAAACCTAATGCTCGTCAAAAATGGACGTCCAAAAGTTTACGTAATGCACAAGAACATTCGAAGTATCACAATTCTTATCTGCCGAATAAACTGAAAGAACTGGAATAAAGCTGCCATCGTCATAACACCTTCAGAGCAGCGTAAAGACTAGCGTAAGGACACCATAATACGATAAAAACATTGCATAGGTACCATTGTTAATTGTCAGGCTAATGAAATCCACGGAAGCGTTAGAACTGGATCAAGATCATCTATATTTCAAATGTTATTTGTTAAAAAAGTTGTCGAGTACGAGTATAACAGGGCCACTCTCATGTTTTGTATGTAGAACATTTTATCTGTTGATTAGAAAGGTCAAAGGTGATGAACGGGTAACCAAAAAGCCAGTTCTTGTAAGTGATTTGAATTTATCTTCATGGCCTGCTCTTGTCACGGCTGGAGCTGTATTTCAATGACGCCAGGATTGTCTTTACACGAAAGTGCGTACTGTGCTACTGTGGTCGTACACGTTCACTTGTACAAACTTTTTGTCCACTCGTCAGAGCCAGCGAATTATGTCCGAGACTTAAAAACTTTTAATGCCGCAATGCTCTCGGAGGCGACAACTACTGCCATCTTCATAGATATTCTTAGCAATGTGGCTCGCACTGAGACCTTCCGCATCCATTTAGAGGAAGCTGTGCGTCTTATTCAACGTGTTTTTGGACTTCGAGGGCTGGTTTGGATACCGGAAGTTGAAGCGCTCCGGAGGCGATAATTTTCTTCCGCGCTTAGGCAGATGATTAACTCACGACTGTCGACCGGCTTTGTAGTATGCAAGATATTTTCTATGTTGTAGTACTAAAATTTGCCTTGCATGTTTTTTCTCCTCGGCTGATAGGTGATTCGACAAAAACCTGGCGGGGACATGTCAACTTCAATCAGACGTAGGGTGGCTACCCTAGGAAGACACTGAGCCTTTTGCCTCGTGGGGGTCGCTATCGATAATACCTAGCCATAAGCAACAACTTCTTCAAAAGAATTCGAGCTACAAGCTCAGGGTCGTTGGTTGGTAAAATCATAGTAAATGCCAGATAAGAGTACAGCATTTGTGTTTTTGCGATAGAGACACAGTGAAATGCTAAGGTTACTGTCAAAATTGTCTGTTTAAATTGAGAGGATGGATAGAGTGGGAGATTGTCGCGATGTTAACATGAATTCGACTATTGAATCTCATCCACGATATGACGTGTCCTAAGCGCCATGATCTTCATTAACTGGAAGCCGAGCAGGATAGGTACCATCTGGAGAAGCTCAAACACGTCATTAAATCATCTACCCGAGTAGTGTATTTTTCCATTATAACTAAAAACTCTCAATGTGTACTTCTGGTTTCGAGTGTGACGTTCTTCTAGCGATTGATGTGCGCACGAAGTCGAAGCTTTTGAAGCAAACATAAGCAACGATTTCTCTAATGCAAAAGATGATATTGCTCAAATTGATAATCAATGATGCTACCAGGTGCCTCAAGTAACGCTCAGAACGCAGAAGAGGCAGTAAGGCGCGGTCGTAGGATGAAAATCGACGAAGTGATCGTGTATTGTGGTCTGCACAATTGTCGCTTAAGATCGCGTTTCTGTTGAGACAGGAAGGACGAAAAGATGTCGTAAACCCCCATTGTGTTTTTGGGTGTGACGGTAAGGGAAACTTCGAATTTCTATATACTGCTTACGGCCAGTGGACAGCGAAAGTGTTTGGCGTTACGATTCCCGAGCTGTTGTCAGTGGAGCTGAAAGGCGACCATAAGTCGTTGGTTAGAGAGCTATGCCCTGAAGATGAAAGAGTGGTCATCATTGTTATTATATAACGGGCCATTATGTGGAACAGTGACATAGCAGCGACAAATCATCTACTAGTTCACAGAGTGCCCAGTAGTCCTAAGGGTTGTAAAACACCTCCCTCAATACCTCCGGTAAAATCTCTCATCGAATATAGAGCGGTTTCGCGGTGAGTATGTTCAAGAAATCCATGGCGGTGAAATCACCGAAGCGATACAATCGGTACGGGAGTAGGAGTCGCGATCGTCGTCCGTAATGGATATATCTGTCATTCAGGGGACAAACTGAGCGTTGAGTGCGCGGAGCGGATCAGTATCCTCATTTATATCACGAGCCTTTTTATCCTTTGTTGAGGATTATCATGTCGGGGTAGACCACACTTTTCACCCCAGATCGGGAAGTGCGTCCCGATTTTGACTAGGTTCTCGGAAATAAATATTGTGTCAAACAGCTATACGGAAGAAGCAGTGCATCGACGCTTTCGTCCGCGTGAACAGCAATGCATTTCAGTGAAATCACCTCACCTGGCTCTGACCTTCTGACTTTTTGTGTCACAAAAGCCAACGTCAAGTGGTGATTTGTCTTGGATATATGCAGCCACGATTCCGCCGCTATCGCCGATTTTTTTCTAGCACGAATATGATGCAGAAAAGCACAATTGAATGCACTCTGTTCACTGCCAACATGAGCGTTTGCTTGCGGGGGACAGAGATACTCGTCTCACTGCGGTAAGTACTCCTAGCGGGATGCTCTGAGATTGGTTGATAATACCACAGAGACTGTCTACTGCATCGACGGCGCTCAATAGTCAGTAGCACAGCTGTTCTGGTAACATTGTGACTGTTCATAAATCTATTCAGAAGATATATCCATGCAGAGTCGTGCAAAGCAGTTGAAAACCCATATCAAATAATTGCGATCTCTTTTAAAGTGTATGCGATTCAACAAGCTATTCGCCGATATGGCTATAGCACTGACAATATTGTTACATTATACTGGCTGGTTGGAACCCATTGCACAAAGATCAAAACCGTTTACCAGCCAGTGCTTTTGTCGTAAAAGGGGGTAGGAAGGGTCTGGCCTGGCCTCATGTAAACTGCGGTTGATGCCGATATGGCACGACCTTCCGAGGCTGTGACAAAATTTGTGAGAACGTCATTGTTGGCTCTTAACGATGGCATTATCGTATAGTCTGTGGCGATGTCTTCTCTAGCATAGGATGTGCTTTATACTAAGCAGATAACGATTCGCATGGACACGCAACCGCATTTGAGTCTAGCCAGCTGGAAGCTGCAGACAACAACGGGCAAGGAGCTGCTTGAAATGTAGGACTTTCTTGTTACTACAGAGCGGTCTACATAGCTCTAAGTCATTTGTAGATATCAGAACATGCGTCGTTGTGCCCAGCAAAATTGCCGCCAATCTCTCACTGATAGTGACAAGATGGTTCTCTTTCTTTGCCAAACTTATCTTTGACGTAAGTTATCAAAGGGGCGGTGGTGAATGCGCTATCGCGTCATAAATCGTCGCATGTTACAATGATAACGTCACTGATTGATGAGGCGATATATAATGTGTACAGGTGGTACGCAGTATATACTGCTTTGTGGAAAACTTTGTCAATAATGCGGTTGAAACGCAGATGTCGCTTCATCGAAGTGCGAGATGACAGCCCAGTACATCTATGCTTTATACGTGGGCTTGTTGTATTACATCACTGACTCTACGTGCAGTGATAACTCATGATGAGGATCTACCATAAAGAATACTGAACTGAGAACACCACGTGGCCAGACACGATACCCAGTGAGCGCTATGCTGGGGTGCAACATGTATGAAGGGATCAGAATTGCAAATAGTGCCAATCGACCAAGCTCTCGCCGCGTATACCAGCTCCTTCGATCATAATGACAGTTTCAGCAGAATTCACAGTAAAAAGATTTATCCCCGTTCTTCCAAAAGACGTGTTTAGTTGACCGGCATTGGGTTGTTGTGGACCGTCTTTGCAAAATAGTATATATTGCTGTTGTCAGTCACACCGTCACGCGTGTAGACACAGCCAAGCTGTTCCCTTGACAATCTTTTTCAGCAAGATGATTGTCGATGTGTCGGATAGAGGTCTTCGCTTTACAACAAAGGTTTATCCTGCCCTTTGCTGTCGATGTCGGTCGCTGACCCACAATCTGATTATCAGACGAAAATTTTTAATCGCGTAGTGATAAGAAATCTCTAAAGCACTTGCTCAGACAGTCCACATCTCTGGTGCGAGTTGCTCTCAATCATAGAGTTTGTGCCAGAATTCGCAATCACGCCTCTTCAAGCTAGAACCCGTGCTTTTATTTCTGCGCCGACTAGCCTCCATTTTATTACACCGCCGCGATGCGGTTCTGTTCCTCGTGGAGAAAGGCTGTCAGCACAAATTGAGTAGGCGTTACATCCCGGATCCTCTTTGCGACAAGTTCACAGATTTCACCTCTATCAGATCGAGCGTAACGTGCTAAGTGCGCGACGCGTAGAAATTGAAAAGGCTCGACCAACTGGAATCAACCTATTTACACATGTAGTTTCTGCGGTCTATAAAAGTTAAAGTTGTGGTGGCGCTACGTCAGCCAGTTTACGGTCGTAGCGGGAAAGGATTTGAGTTATAATCTTAACTTCCCAAAAAGGCAAGCACATTTGATGATTACGTGGGCTTGACGATGTTATACTAAGATCTGGCTCTTACGAGCTTGTCGGATAACAAGAGCTCAGTTGTAGACGGAGAAGTATATCTACCATCCCTTGAAGCGATGTCACTCTCTGCATTAATGCAGAGACGCGGGTAGACAGTTCGGAATGTAATAGATACCCTATGACGTTCTCACTGAGATTCAGTTCTCAGTATACGGCTCTCATCAAGAATACGAGACCCTTTGAGCGCTGCTGTTCTAAGCGCAGGCCGTACTCATATGATCAGAGGGGTAAGAAAAACACCATCGGAGCTCTTTTGTGGCTCCTCGTATAAGACTTGGTTTGTGTTCGGATAAATGCATAAGGGATCGCTTCAGCGCGGCGAGCAACTTGTGATGCTCGAAAATCACAGAGCGAACGTGGTGACATTGGCAATAGCCAGCATGTATCTTGCGCTTATCAGACGAGCAGAGCAAGCTTGTACTTTTAACCAAGCAGCTAGTTGGTGATGAGCTGGACTTCGTCATGAGCTACACGGCGATATGTCGCGACAAAACCTACCGTGATTACAGTCACAAGGTCACTCACGCATACAGATAGAAGATGTGGCGCAGTGATTGGATCGATTGTATATATCATGTCTCTTTTTGGGGACGAAGGTGTTGGATCGGGACTTGTAGAGGCGCTACGACCACTCTCATTCATCTTTCCTACTGAGATAGGCTTGAAGATGTCGTCGATTGATGGGAGGTGATAAAAGGAAGAAGCTTCCACTGCGAATATGCTTCAAAGAACAGGCAATAAAGATTGCAAATATTGACATAAACTCCGCGTGCAGCTAGCGCTCAAAAACTGCTCATTTTTGCAAAAATAAGACAAAAAAGTTAAGCCCCAATGTGGTTAATATCTTGGCGGAAGAGGGTAAACTTTTACATACACCTCATACTTTCGTACAGTCATGCAAAATACAATATGACTGGACGATAATCACATTACGCTTCAGTGTAACTGTAAGTATGTCGAAGTTTCAATGGATCGGCACTAATAAAAGATGATGGTGGTTCTTTTACAGAAGGTGTGAGGCTTAAATAGACTTTTAGCCCAATGTCAATACGATTTTCGATGATTCTCTAGTGAACCGTCGATGGCGTCCAGTACTGCCGCAAGGCGACTTAGCTGACGTGAAAGCTTTGACATGTCGGTCTCTGTAGAAAATTCATGCGAGAACTTGCACTTTCAGCGCCACAAGTCTTTGAATAGACTCTCTGTGAGGACGAAGTTGTGAAAACTAAATTGTGTACCGTTAAGCAAGCAAATACGAATGACACTTGAACGGGTTGACGGGAATTCCTATGACTATCAATCATCATTAATCTTTCGTCTTATTAGACCAGAGATGAAGTTTACGATGAAGGTAAAACCCTTATATATAAATCATCATGTCGCTATCATTTACGATTACAATCGTAAAATTGCACTATGGTCCTCCCTCCTGTATCTGATACTTTGAATTCAGGCAGCAATCTCATGGCGAAAAGCCTGTAAATGAGAGCAGGATACCTTTGGCCTTTCCTATCATCTCATCGCTTCTCCAATCTCATTTCTTCTCCAAAAGCCAGATCCTTATTGTATAGAACACATCATACTTAAAGTCCTGTAGTTCTCTATATTCTCTTGAACATTCTGCTCTTGTCCAAAGCGAATCCCTTTATCGTCACATTTAATTACAAGCCATGACATTTAATTGTCCATGCTTTTCAGTCTTGCAGCTATCAAATTATGGTTCTTGGTAGCTTGTGTGTATCATAGTTCATAGCCTCTTGATCTAATTTGCTTAAGAATTCAGTGGAATTGAAACAGTCTGAATGACTGTTGTCATCATTGGAATGAAGCAGGTATCCTTAAATCATTTGTAATGCTGCGATCTTCAGCTACGCATGTCTTTGCCTTGCGTTTGTCAAGCCGTGACGTTGAAGCAGACGCAGATTGGACTGCTCGATTCGTGATGAGAGCCTGTACTGTACGGACAAGTCGACGTAGATATGTACTTTTAAGGTTTTTGCTCACAAAGCACAAAAGATGCCAGCTGGTCTTCTAACCCAATGACTTGTCCGCCACCTTACTGAAACCAAATCACATGACGACACGACCAAATGTCATGGTTATCAGATTAAAGAGGTGATAAGCAATAGAGTCGATCGATTCAATCGATCATTTGGCAACGTGCCGATCGCCACAACCACCTTGCAAAATTAATAATTTGAAGTCATGACGATGCAAGTTCGTGTAGGAGATCTCTATTGGAAGCAAGATGGAGTATATGGATGGATTCTGGGTCAAGTCACAGCGTTTGATCCTGTACGACAAAGTGCTACATTCGTACATGTGAATGAAACCACTGGAGCACGTCTATGCCGTTCTGAATTAAATGAAAACGAACACATTGAGCTTCATGTCGAGTTGCAAGAGACGTCACTATTGGGTGCCAATCCATTGTTCAGGTCAGTTCATTTGTTTTGAAAATTCGTCTGAAAGTAACTCATGAGTTTGATATTAATTTTAACAGTACAGCCGATGACATGACTTCACTTCGATATTTGCACGAAGCTGCTTTAGCTAAAAATTTACAAGACCGTGCAACAGTCGAAAATCAGCGTCCGTACACTTTTATGGCAAATGTACTGATTGCAGTGAATCCATTACGTCCATTGTCCGATCCCGAGAAAATGGATTTTATCGGACAATCTCTTGATCACTGTCCACCTCATCCATACAATGTTGCTGAAAATGCTTATCGTCAACTCTGTGCTGTACGTGCAGTGATGCAAAATCAAAGCATTATCATTAGTGGTGAAAGTGGTTCTGGTAAGACGGAGACTTCGAAAATGATTCTCGACTTTCTTACAATGCGTGCAGTCCACAATCCTGCACTCTCAACAAGTTCATGTACGTCCAATTCAGACGATGAGCTTGATTTCGAAGTCGCACCTCCTCCAAATTCACTCACAATGGCTTTATCGTTTCCACAATCAATTGGAAAACGAAAGTTATCTCCAGTAGCTATTGGAGAGCGATTAATGGAGACAATTCCAATTCTCGAGTCATTTGGAAATGCCAAGACCCATCGAAATCATAATTCCAGTCGATTTGGAAAATACATGCGCTTACAATTCGCAAGTGATACGCATGAACTCACTGGTGCAAGTATTGATACATATTTACTTGAAAAGAGTCGATTAGTGTTTCAACCTCAAGGTGAACGAAATTTTCATATTTTCTATGAACTTTTACATGCTGATGATCTCGAGACATTGGAATCCTGTTTTCATTTGAAACCTCAGAAACCAGAGTGTTACGCGTACTTGAATCAATCGGGATGTTTTCACTCTGAGTCACTAGATGATGCGACGAACTTTCGAAATCTCAAGAAAGCTTTGGACTTTATTGGCATTCGTGAGAGAGCACAGTATGAGATTTTTCGACTTGTGGCTGGGTTACTTCATATGGGTAATATACAAATTAGTCAAGAGGATACGGACGAGGGAGAAACAGCGTGTATTCGTTCCGATGATCTCGAGTCGCAATCTGCAGTACGGCATGCTTCGGAATTATTAGGAGTCTCAATTGATCAACTCATTGAGTGTATTCTTCACAAACGTATTATGACTCGTGGATCACGTCGCAATTCCATTTACTTTATCAAACGAGATGTTCGAAATGCCGTGTATTCTCGTGATACGATTGCAAAAACCATATATGAGAATACGTTTACATGGCTGATGGGGGAATGTGCTGCAGCCTTGGATTATGATTCGTTTCGAAGTGATGTGGTGCCATATATTGGTGTGCTCGATATCTTTGGATTTGAAGATTTTGAACCAAAAAATCGCAATTCGTTTGAACAATTGTTGATTAATTATGCGAACGAAACGCTTCAAAGTCTATTTAATTCATGTATTTTCGAAGCAGAACAAGAATTGTACAAGAGTGAACACATTTATCACCCGACAAACCATTCACTATCATTTCCATTCTCTTTTGCTGGTGACATCACTCCAAAGACGAATCTTGACAATGACATTGACTTTCTTACCGAACAAGTAACGCCCAGTGGTAATGTTGTCGCATATTCAGATAATCGCGAGTGCTTGAATCTCATTGCTAGTCGTCATGGTGGTCTCTTTGCAACAATTGACAATGTTTCTCGTTTGCCAATGCCTTCGGATCGAAAATTAAATGAACGGCTGCATACACTTTTTAAACGTCATCCATGTTTTCCAACGCCTCATCCAAAGGATCAACGTGATACGTTTCTCATTCGCCACTACGCTGGCACAGTCTCCTACACAATCAATTCATTCGTGGACAAGAACAACAATATCATTTCGGAACAGTTTGAAGAATTGTTGAAGAATTCAACGTCACGTGTATTACAAGATTTACATGGCAATTCTCGCACTTCGAATCGCGTACGATCTGAATCGATGGTATCAACCAAATCTGCTGATCAATCACCTCTTGGTGGTGGAGCTGCATCTTCCAAACGTTTAAAAGGTGGAAGCACTTCCAACTTATTTTCGACACAAATGAAAGGATTAACGACGGAACTTGAAGGAACGAGCTGCAATTTTGTACGCTGTATCAAGCCAAATACCCAGATGCAACCTGGTCTGTTCGATCGATCGTTTGTTGTCGAACAATTGCGTTGTTCGGGTACAGTCCAAGCGTGCGAGGTTTTACGTGTCGGACTCCCAACGCGCATTCTGTACGCAGAAGTAGTGGACGTATATCGCACTTTTGTACCATACAATGTTTTCTGTCGCTTTAATTCAAACGACAAGCTATTTACACAAGCGATTTTATGGGTTTATGACTTCCCAACAAGTGCATTTCGGTTAGGAGACACACGCTTATTCTTTCGAACAGGAAAGATTGATCTTCTTGACAAATTATTGACTCCAGCTCGCGATACAACCGCAAATCTTGGTGACCAATTATTGTTGTACTTAAGGAAGAAACGCTGGATTACTGCTGTCACAACAATTATCACGTACACTCACTTGAAACGTTTGTTTGAACAAGTTCGATACCAACGTCGTGCAACATTACTTCAATGTTGGGTACGACAATACTTGGCTCGAAAACGTGTACGCACATTGCGCGTCCAACTTCGAATGCATGGCCTCTGGACTCAATTCATGCACAAAGCGCAGATTCTACACGCTTATCAAGATCGTCCTGAAGACAAAATGGTGCTACTTACTAAACTCTTGACAAAAACGTATTTGCCACCTCCTCAGCGTTGGCTTTTAAAGTGGCTTGGCCCACTTCAGCGTGTCCTGTACTTGCAAAAGCGCTGGAACAAGATCAAAGCACAATATTTAGCGAAACGTGGCTTCTTGTGGCTTTATCAAAGTGTAAGACAGCACCGAAGCGCTTTGTTACTTCAATCAAGTGTGCGTGTTATGCTTGCTCGCTCACGTTTCCTAAAATTAAAACACAAAGCTCTTGCTCGTCGTCGATGGCATCTTGGGTTTCTAAAAGTCCAAGTCGTGAATGTTTTCTATCGTGAATACCATCGAATTCATGTCAAACGATTAGAAATAGACAATAAGACATTAATCACTACAATGGCAACGGTGACGAGAAAGCTTGGGGAAGCACAAGATGAAGCCAAGACGGCAAAATTGCAGCTGAAAGCCTTGCAAGTGTCGTTTGATACGGTGCAGACACAAGCTAAAGTCCAGCAACAACGTGTTGAAGAGTTAGAACTTGCGTTACAAGCGAAACGACATGAAGTGGCTGAATTACAGCGACAGAGAGCAGGAGGCACGTTTGTTGAACGGGTGGTTCGATTCTTTACGTGCAGTGCTGCGATCTCACCACCAGCTTCGCCTCGTGAAATGCTCATACCATCTCGTTTGACTTTATTACGTCGTCAGACGCAATCAGCGGCTGAAGAAACGTTTGATCATGGAGAACGGATTGTTTGGGCAACCCCATTAAGTGACACACTTGTGATTCCACAGGATGAAGGATCAATAAAACGACCGAGTCGTGTCAATACAGGAACTGAAGAACCGATTATGGACCCAGAAGCACAAGACTTTCGATCGAAAGATGCTGATTTGTTGTGGTCGTTGTCTCGATACATGTTTTAGTTGCATACTTTGCTTGAATTTTGGATAGAAGTACAGAGAATGGAGTTGCGCGTACATCTTATTGAGGCCATTGAAAGTTCTGCGTACAAGGTGATGAATACGAGACGTATAGATTGTCCGGTCGTACATGTGCGATTGTATTTCATAAAGCAACTTACAATGTCGCGAAGATTGCTTGTTCAAGAAGCAGTTTCGCAGTCTCATTGCTTGGTTGTATCTCTAACAATTGGACAGCAGCATGATGAACTATAGTCCATCGTTGAAGTCTTATACCACATGTTCCAAGACCAACTAGAGCCTCAATAAATGCTGGCTTGAACTTGACTGCAGTCTCGTAATGTTCAAGCGCTTTCTCGAAATGACCTGTACGCATGACAATATTTCAACAAAAACGAATTGATCTGAAGTCTCCTTATAAAACATACCACATTTATACTCGATCATAGCAAGTTTGTTCCAAGCGTACGCATACGAAGGAGAATCGTGTACGATCTGTTGGAGTATCTCACGAGCTTCATGGAATTTCTTTTCGTCATGAACGAGCATTAACGCACGTTGGACTTCACTCTGTGCTTGGCTTCCACCTTCTCGACTCCAAATGCCTTCTAAACTAGCTATAGCCAATTGAATGGTGGTACTATCATTACACTGCAAATACATCAGCAATTTGTCTTCATTTGCAGATTCAAGTTGAAGAATTGATGGAATCGTGACAACGACATTTATCGCTTTTGAGCTGAAAATGAAATCTTTTGGATAACGAGCAGCCATTGATTTGGATGGTATGTGATGTGTACCATCGAAAGTGTCAAAGTAAAGCAAAAGTGCTGGATGCACGACAGCCTACGATCAACTTGAAGTTTTAGGAAGCATGAAATGAATTCATGAGTATCAATTTCAGTACCTTATGCGACTCATCACGTCGAAGTTCATCTTGTGGAACATTGTAGAGTTTGCTAGCAAAACTGAACCAATAATTAAGTAATACATTCGATCACTATGTCAATATATCAATATCACAATATTGCAATAGCAAAATAGCATTTAGCAATACGCACCTCAGACCCGGACTGTGTGGTAATATGTCATAAGCCACACAAGGGCATGCTTCGTTTTGTGTATCAGTAGTCAAATGCCACGAAAAAATGACTCCACGACTGTTGCCTTTTACTTCCACGATGTCGCCAATTCGAAACTTAATTTTGTCAGTGCGGACCTGTTAAAATTGATCATCAAATGAGCGTACCAGGTTATTTTTTTACAGTGACAGCATGCATACCTTGGGGTTATAAACTTCTTGAGTTTCAAACTCCTGCAATAGTGCATTGTGGTCGTCCACACTCTTAAGTGCTTCGAATCCAGCATCAATCCGAGCGTCTAGCGCCACTCTGTCCTCGACTGGCACAGCAAATGCTGCTCGTACGATACTTGCAAAAAGTCGCTCCGTTTGATGTCGCTTGAAAACCCCCATATCTTCAAAACGTCGTACAAACATACGTTCTCGCTGCCAGTCAGACTTGATACCGGTGTACGACGCCACAGCACCAGAGCGGACGGCATCGTACAGTGTTCTACCAGCCTCCACGTTGCGTTGCAGCGTCTGTGTTGAACGTAGCAATGTTCTTCACCCTTATCATTAGAATATCTAAATGAACATCTCTGATGAACAGTAGCAAACCGATAAAGCGCAATCACGACTGGAGACGCCATCTTAATTTCAAACTAATACTTGAAAAGAGTATAGAATGTAACATTTTATAAGGCAATCAGAAAGTATCTATTCACAGAATTTACATTCTTAAAAGTTAAGTTTTGATAGTAACTCAAGCCATGGCAGCACTCGAGGGTTTTGATGTGGAGGCATACGCTGCTAAGTACAGTGGTCGTAATCGGATAGAACGACTGATATTCCTTACCGAGACATGCCCTACACTTGAAGCTGAAGCGAAACGCGCATTACTACGTGAGTTGAAGGGAGGTCTAAACATGGGACTTTACACCGAGCTATTAGGTGACAAGGCGACAGACGAATCAAGTTTTATTGACAGTGTAAAGCACAATGCAGCACAACAACATGAACGACTCGAGCAGGAGCTGAATTCGTACAAGTCGACAATGATCAAAGAGAGCATTAGGGTACGTTTTATCATGAAAAATGATACCTTTGATTATACTAAGGGTACGCTTGGTGAAGATGGGGCATAATGATTTGGGAGATTTTTATTACGAGTTGGGGGATCTCCCTGCGGCGCTTAAAAGCTTTGCCCAAGCTCGAGACTATTGCACTACGGACAAACATATAATTGAAATGTGTTTTAACGTATGCAAAGTTGCGTTACACATGCGCAACTTTGGTCATGTGACCAACTATTTGTCAAAGTTGGAGCAAGTGAGTAGCTCGCAGAGTGATGTCATGTAAGTTAGTTGTAAATGTCACCGAAAAAAACTAATTTCCTATACGATTTGTGTGAATGTTATAGTCTCAAGTCAAAAATCGCATCAGTCTTTGGCCTTGTGGCTCTCCACGACAAAAATTATCATCGAGCTGCATCCAAATTTATCGAATGTAAAGCAGAGATTGGTGCGAGTTACAACGAAGTGTTGCATGCTGAGGATATTGCATTATATGGCGGAATATGCGCTTTAGCGTCGTTTCAACGTGAAGAATTGAAGGAAAAAGTGATCAATAATTCGTCTTTCAAGGCCTTTCTGGAATTAGTACCGTGGCTACGTGAGCTTATCACCGCCTTTTACTCGAGTGACTATGCGTCATGTTTGCAGACGTTAGAGCAAATGAAGGTAATAGTTTTGACAATGCTTTAGAAGATGGAGATTATATTGTAATTCGTTGCTGGTGATAGCCCGAACTGAAGCTGGACTTGCATCTTTTTGAGCACGTGGAGTCATTGTGCAAAGAGATTCGTAGCCGTGGTATTATCCAGTACTTTTATCCATATCTTTCGGTAGATTTGCATCAGATGGCGCATACTTTTAATACACCGACACCAGATCTAGAGACAGAAGTCTGTGCACTTATTGCTGCCGAGCGTCTACATGCTCGAATGGATTCGTATGAAAAGGTTTTGCACAATATTTTTAGAACAATATTTTGTTCCATCCCTCACTTTTAATGTAGGTTTTGTACGCTTATCATCCAAATCAGCGAGCAGCGGCATATGATCGCGCGTTCGAAGTGGGTCGTAATTATGCAGCCGAGTCGCGCAATTTACTTTTGCGTATGAGTCTTCTGAAGAATAACATTATAATCCGCGATGCGTAGTCAATACGTCAATGTTGCATGTAATCCACTAATTGAAGAACACCATGATGAATTTGGAGTCGTGTTCCTGTTGCTATTGATAGTTAATTTAGGCAAGAGTGGGGGGAAACCGAAACAACGGGACGAATTAGGTCGTGACGACTCGTACTTTTCCGTATGAGCGAGTTTGAAGGTTCGACTTCATGCGCCAGCAAACCCGTCGAAAGCGATGTCGTTGCAAGTCCAAGAGTTGATAAGACGCCAATGTCGATAATTGAGACGCTGGATCATGTGCAACAAGGAATGAATGTACACACGAGTACATCGCGTTCTATCCTCTTGCATATTTGTCAGCGATTAACTCGATTAGAAGCGAATGTAAGCAAAGTATGCGACGATGTTTTACAGCTGCGTCAAATCGCAAGCGAAGGGTCCAACCCTGTGGGTACTGAAGTTTCAGCCAACGTCATTTCCATGTCAACTAAGCTCAGAGAGCACGAAAATGTGATGGAGATTTTTAAAAAGGATATGCGCGCACATCAAAATCATCTGTCGATTCTTTCAACGAAAGTCGAGAAAGGAACAGAACACATTGACATTGTTGATACGGTAAGAACGAATGCAAACTTGATTTAATGAAACAATTTAGCTTACTATCCTTCTGGATTCAGAAAGTGGAAGATCATCGTCAAGACGTGATCAATCGATTCGTCGAGCTGACACAAAACTTACGCGAGTTACCAATGCAACTAACTACGCTGCAGACGATTGTTCCGACTTCTGTGAACGAGAAGTTTACATTTCAGACCAATGACGATAAATTATCACTGCAAACACACTTGCAACGTCTTGAAACGCACTGTTCCAAAGGGTACACCGATTTGCAACCGTTTACGATTCCAGATGATATGAAAGTGAAGGTTGAGGCGCGAATTCGTCAACAAGCGACTAGTAAGCGTCAAGCCGATGCTCAAGCCGCGGCCGAACTATCAGATGCTTATCGACGACTGCAGCTTGCAGCTGTAAATAGCAACAACCCGCGACTCAGTCAACTTTATTTGAGTCTGGATCAATGTCAGCACGATGTAAAACAAGCATTTCAGCTGATTCGCTCGTCAAACTTACAGCTTCATTCGTATTGTGAGTCAAAAGCTGAGAGATCAGATGTGATCGTATTTCAAAGCGAGCTCAAACAGTTGCGTAATCGCATTCGAAAGGTTGAGAATGCATCGCTAGGGATTCGACCTAAATCTCAAATTCTTAGTGAATCTACGAATAGCGCAATTGACGAACTCAAAGTAGGCAATGGGGCTTTGTCCTGTAAGAAAGGACCTTCCCAGCTTACGATCTCTCAGGTCCCAGTCTTGCGTGTTTCATTGTTGGAGCTTTCGAGAAACTTTAATCTTCTACAGCATCGCTGGAAAAAGCACAAGCGACTTCATCCAAATTCTGGTACAAGTATTAATCCATTGGCACAGAAGCATCTTGAAAAAGTAGTAGCCATCATAAACGACGCTTACGCTAGTCTGGCGCAGGAGCCGGTGGATTTAATTAATGCTGAAATTCATGTTGACAAGGTGAGTCGCGTCCTAAGCTCAGACTATTCCATGCAGACGTTGGCATTATTAGGAAGACATAGTGACGAGTTTGAAAGCTGCCGATTTCCTCTTATAACCGGACGAGCTGCTGCGGGAGAAATGGCTGCTGCACTTTGCAAATACGCGGAAGCTTTTACTGCTATGTTTTTCCGACACGAGGCCGATCAAAAAGTGGTTACAAGTGCACTTAATGAGTGGACATCTGAAAAGCAAACGCTTGAAAATATAAACCGACAGGTAAGTGCACTTGCTCGCCGTCAACAAATTTTGGAAAGTGCCTTAGACAAGCTTGTTGCTGATGGCAAGAAAAGAAGTGAGAACATGGAGGCGGAATGTCTCAGTGAAAACCAAAGTCTGCCCACGCGTTTGATGAACGATGAGATGCAGCACTTAAAAGCACAACTTGATGCTATGAACAACCACTTTGTCACTGAGGTTGAGGTTTTAGAAATTATCAGAACCTACCACGACGAGCAGCAGAGTAAATTAACAGGAATCGATCGGGTCAACATCAAACATCGCAAACATATCAATGAGGGGAGTACGCCCTCTTTATCGCTAGACTCTTCATCATCAGCTCCACTGTTACGCCCATATACAGTGGATAATGACTCGTCAGCACACCAAAAATTTGCAGGCTTTACGTTTAAAGGCCATGAGGATAGACCAAGAGCTCAGACTAAGCTTGATCCACTTCAAGGCGTTAAGATGCGTGGCTCTACGCGAAGGTTTCGTGAAAAGGGTCTTGAAACAATCACAAGCAGACTTCCAACACAAGCACAGATGCTTTGTCCGACGACAAAGCACACAAATTCAGACGACTGAATACTCACTGTTGTATCTTTATTGCCTTCTATTACAAACATATCGAGGTCATCGTGATGAAAATTAATTTTTAGTTCTACGGCAATGGCTCCGAAGCATCACTGACACGCTTGAGATGCAGATACGCATCTGTGCCGTACCCCTCCATTGATATCACCTGAAGATCTCCACCAAAATAACGTGCGAATAGACGACTAATTGGCAAACCGTAGCCTAATCCAGCCAGTGGTGAATCTCCACCGAAATCATTAGGTGCCTCTAGCCGCTCAAAAGCCTCTGAATCTGCAGTCGTGTAAAGATACGACCAAATGCGTGACACAGACGATCGTGGAATCCCACCTCCTTCGTCCGATATCTTTATCGACACATCTTCATTATCCTCACCATCAGCAATTACAATTTTGATAGGCGGCATGTCATTATCAACACCATGGAATTCCACTACTGCACGCATTGAATTTTTAATCACTTCAAAGAGCATGTGGTGCAAATGACTTGGCACAAAAGGCATTGAAAAGTCGGTATGGCCATGTAACTCTACTTCGGGAGCATCTCCGTATTGCCTTAAACACATATGCCTGGCCGTATCAATCGCTGCAAGCGCAACTTCGGCAGGTGATGTGCTCTCACAAATGCATCCAACCCATCCATCTTCTTCTTCATGTAAAGCAATATGCTGACTCATAAGCATGCGTATACCAATTCTTGACATATAAAATGCATCCAAGAACGAATGCAAGTCCGACAGGTCAGCAAATTCTTGCGATCGTAAATATCGTTTTCCCACTTCTAATCCTCTGCCTTGATCTTTTTCCGAAAAGGATTTGAACAATGTCATTTTAAGCTCGTGAACACCTTTAGCCATGGTATATAACGTGCCACTATGACGAGCTTTAATACTTTCAATAAGATTACGAAAAGCCACTTCGTCGCGATATGTCTCGACTTTTGCGAAGTTTAATAGCTCGTGAGCTGAGTTGACATACCAATCCCGCACTTGTTTTACAGATGGCATGTCGCTCAGTCCATGTGGTAAATTCTCAAGGTTCTTGATGCGGTGTGCGTATCGAACAGGCATTTCACCGTGTAAGAAGCGCGCTGATTGAATGAGTTTCTGGGGAGAAATGTTCGTTCCAAACTCGAGCAAGTGCTGAAGTGATACACCTGTTTGTGGTAGTCGAGCCAGTTCATCGATCTTGGCCGTCATCTTGTCGTGGAACGCATTGCTGACGGTATAACTGCGGTGTATCGGAGTACAGGTCGCAAGACGATGCATTGAAGATCCAGGGCAAAGTCTTGAAGTGATACACTTAACATAGCAGAATTTATACAGAATATGACTGATGCTTACTTAAGATTTGAAATTTAGCAATAGACTAAGTGACTGATGTTTGACTTTTTCTGATAAGTACATTTGCAGATTGGATACTGCGCACATGTTGAGGATTGATTTTTCAAGTCGATTCGCCATCATGTTGACAATCTGCTTTGCTCACTTAGTAGGGCAACTACTTTCAAGCAGCAGGTCGTGACTTCGACTCCCGAGGCGCGCAGCATTTAGTTCTCGATTGCTTCTCCATAGCGTTCAATGTTTGACATGGATAAGTACACCATCGCCGAACAAACTTGGAAATCGTGAGAAAAGATCCATCGCAAGTAAGTTAAGTCTGAATCACTGTGTCCCTTCTGCCTTGTCTTTCGAGTACGTACCCTAACAGACGATGGCATGGTAGCCAACAGATATAATCACTCATCAGAGGTAATCTTTTGTCTCACTTTCATCTTGCAAGTGGACTTGGCCATGCAAATCGCCGATACCAGAGTCCATGCCTTCTTCACGCACGATGATGTCTTCGTCAAATGCGTCCCAAAGCAGCGCGGTTATATGCCCCGACGATGTTGACGCCTGGTATGAGAAATCAAGAAAATTCATCAAGGAGCATACCCCTCGCGATTGCGAATGGTCCAGCATCATCACCGTCTTACGTGTTCTTACGCGAGGTCTTGGTGCATGGCTCAACGTCGCACGATCTCCATAATCGATTACTGTAACCGGGTTAAACGTTCCATGGTAACAGGGGTGTGTGTCGCACCAGATGTGCATTGTGTGACCACACCCAAACAAGAATACGTTACGGGGCTATGTAGCCAGTAGTTATGCATGTATTTAGGTTTTTCTATATATATTTAGTATATTTAGGAAAACCTAAACATTTAAAATTAGGTGGCTTTGTCGCTGATAAAAATAAATAAAAACCAGTTTTGGATTTTAAACGGAGAAGCTAAGTAAGGCATTAATTACTCTTGGAGTAAGCGAATTGCGATCCGCTAAATCGTACTTGTTCTAAGTATAAAACAAAAGGTCGGTGACCTAAATTAGGTTTCTTCAAGCACTAAGCTACGGCAGCCTCGTTGCAATTACATTCCAAGTGTATATCACACACCGTTGTCACTGACACCGGGCCGTCGGCCAGAGACGAGGTATAATGGGGATCACCCGTTCGTGTCCGCACACTTTCTGCGGAGGACTTAGGTCAACTGACACGCCTCACCGGGTAGTGCTCGTATTCAGCGGGCTGTTGACTTACGTAATGAGGAGGATAGGTGGAGTGACATATTATTATAGCCAATAGGCTTTCAATCTCCCTAACCTTACAGGTACTTCCAGTTCAGATACAAAAGAACTGATAGGGGATATAAAACTATACAGGGTATACACTTCATGTTGGACACGCAAATCATGTGTTCCCAACAACATTTTAAAAGGACCTGTTCAAATCCTTTTTCCGCTCTTCGTTACGCTCTGTCCAACTCTCGCTAGAGTGACAACCTCATACGCTTGCTTCACATATTATTATCTTCATCACCATCGAGCTTGAATATTATTTCTTTACTACGTCATTTGGCGCATCTGCGCTATTTTGAATTTGATCGTCATGACGACTTTCACGAAGGACGTGGTATCTCCTCGCTAGAGTTCGACGAACTCTTAGTCGATTTGGTGCTCGACTGATGACTCGGGTCGCGTATTTCGGGCCATTGGACCGATGAGATGAACCACATAGCTTCACGTATGTTCCATAACTCCAGCAATCCAATATGGATTCCATCCAGACAATCGAAACTTGACTGGGCATGGGTTCATGCAACCAAATCCGTACACATCCACCGCTTGGAAAGCGCAAGCACCGCTGCTGACTTATCGAAGTTGCGCGATATGCGCTATCGATCTGCGCATATGACAGCGCATAATAAGGTCCCCCACAATAGAAGACATTTTGCCTTAACGACGTCGTCTATCTGTAAATCCTTTTTGCAGATCTTGCGCATTCACCATTGCGTCTCGCACCCACGTGATCACATTCACATGACCGAATGAGTCCAAGGCGTCCTTGTATTTGTGGTTCACATCGTAAAATTTATTGTAATATTTTGGGAAGCTACGATTTGCCAACCCCCCCCAGGTATTGACTTGGTGTACGCGACGGTAGCCACTGTCGAAGCACTGCATGCTTCGAACCAGGCTCACGATTAATTTCGTATCCAACTCCACATTTGGTCGGAGGACCAGAGGGCGGTTTCGCACTAAGAATTCCATCCTTGTATTCCATAACACGTGAATAAAAAGAACCAGTTGGGTACTTCGAAATTGTCGATCCTCTGCGGGACTCCACACGGTGTCGAATTTCCTTGAGAATCGAGTCATCTATAACTGATGATGAGCATAGCTCCGCTGAAGAGACTTCGAACGTAGCAACACGATCTGTGCAATACAATCACACTTGAGGTCGTGTAGGAAGTCATCGTAACTGAGTTCTTTAGGCTTCACTAGTTCTTCCATCGTCGGCAACGGTAACAAAAAAACATCTATTCTGTGACTACATAACCAGTCGTTGCGTTCATATTACGCGAGCCAAAATATTTGCATGCTATATTTCCATCATGAGGCGTAGTACGCTAGACTCACTGGCCTGCAGACTCAACACCAACACCGCGATCAGCAAAATTCGTTGATCCCTTCAAATGTGTGTGCGGTATCACCGTTGTGGTTAGTTGTATTTTCTGTCCTACAATGCGACTCTTCCACTGTGTCAAGTAAGTATCGGCAAATCCAACCACAGTCGATTTCTTTGACTTTCTATTACACACATGTCAACAACATTCTTCTTCCTTGAGTGGGGGGCCAGCAACCCTGTAATATCATTCCGTCAGGAAAAGCGCCATGCCAGCCAACGATTTCTATTCAGTCTACACAGAGGCCAACGTGTTGCCTTACAATGTGCTATTCTTACCTAACCACGTTATCGACAGTTACAAGTACTTAATTTCTGAGATGATGACTTAAAACATAATGTAACCTTTGAATTTACGATAACCATACATTTTTGTAGTTGATAATTTACCCCGGAACAACACATAACGTGAAGACATTTCATCGCAGCAAAAAATTCGTGCTTTTGTGGTAGTAATTGTTGTCCTGTTTAAACGGTCGAACCTCAGCGGTATGATACAGTGGCTACGCGGATGCTCCAATCAAATTTTGGAGTGACCGCTTACTTATCAAAAGAAATCTAAAAAACGGATCTGCTTCAATCTTAGGTTTGCTTCTTTTGCAAAATAACTCAACAGAAGTATTTGCTACAACTATACAATTTGATCAAAGCGAAGCTCGCAAGTTGCCAAAAATACAGAGAGAATGGGAAGCGCACTGACGTTCTGGCTATCTAAGTTTCCCTTGCCACAATGTATTCCACGGTAGACTGCGTTGCATGACATTTGATAATAAGGCTTGTAATAGTGATGCTCGCAAAAAGGGATTACTTCCCAAACACTCACATCAACGAGTTGGCATGATTCTTACTCAGTTCAGAGTTTGCAATGGATGAGATTCCAAAAAATGCTGACAAAAGCTTTCAGTACTGACTGACAGCGCAAACCCACTTCAAAGACAAGGAAAGAAACAGTGTCAAGCACGTTGAAAGCATACAAAGTGCATTTGGAAGAAAACGTGACACATTGAGTTGTATTATGTAATGAGATCATAATGTATAGCAAGTCTACGTGCACTGTGTGCAAACGAAGACAGCCACGATTGTGACGCAAACGCCAGTCTCTAGAGAGAATTTGCTGCCGAGCAGTACGTTCTATTGTATTGTGTTCATTGCTCTCGTGAGTGATTTTGTCAACTGCCGATAAGGGATAGCGATATGCCTCTCACTGAGGTGATGTCTTCGAAAAGATACTGATGTATGGGCTGGTGATGCCGAAAGGACTATGCAATGCGATGGAGATTTGCAACTGTCTGGGGATTCTGGCGACCATGCCCAAACTTATTTTGACATTCTTCCATAGGCATAAAATTTGTATCTATGACGCTTCATATCTCCATTTGCGTGCTTTAATTGAAGCAGATACCAGTAGCCATGATCGCATGATTGTATTAAAGCCTTGTCAGCCTAAAGCGGCAGAAAAGTATAACCTCGTTCATGTTCATGTAACTCTCGCTACTTTGTAATCTGTAAAGATCAAGCATCGTTGCGCATAGCGAAGTCGTCACCGCATCCCTCAGGAAACTGCGACATGTCATCGCTCTCTGCTGAGTGTACCGTCGTAATAGACTATAATCTGGGCCGACTTTGCTTGGTGGCGAATGAGCTCTGCATAACCCAAACATACAACTGTCGAATGATAAATTGGCAACGTCACCGATTCGTGAGGCGATATAACAACATGACGCGTAGCGGTTATCGTAATGAGGTCACTTACTACAGAAAACTGAGCGAGGAACATGCTCCATTCACTTAGAAGATATAAAAATACTGCATGATAAGCCGGTGAGCGCTATGTATTGGTGATCCAGCATGCATTAGTCTTTACGCATTTATGTTTGTAGGTATTTGACATGTCAACGAGTTAAAGACGAGCCGTATACGACGGCGCCTTAGACCAACATGCCGACCCGGCAGAGTGTCGACAGTCCATGCGTATGGACTTAACTTACAGTTGATTTTTTAGCGCGTTCAGTAATACCTTTTTGTGATCTTTGTCGGCCATCAAAACATGATGGGTCATCTTGCTGCTTCCAGTAATACTGCAAATGGTAAGAAACAGCCAAGATGTCTCTCAGCAAGCCTTTCCATGTCGCTAGCTATTCTGCCGGATCGATCTCTGTTATTTACATCGATGTTTGGTGAAACCTGTGCTCGGCACCAGATTGCATACTTCCTTTAGCTGACCATCTGCAAGCGCGAGGTCAAAAATGCGTGAGTCGCGTCGTAAGAGATGACTTATGAGACATTTGCGCTGTAAAACCGCAGTGCTGGACCAACATTTCCAATTCAGAGAGTTAAAAGAACGCTCAGCATGTCTCGACAGAATTTACTACTTTTTATAATGAGGTCGTTAGACAACCAGGTGCTTTAACAACCGCCACAAACACGGCGAAACTAGGAGCTGTCAATACAATTTTATCCGCTGCTCATATACACTTTTTGTGATCACAAAGGTTTTATATGATAATGTTAAGGGTCAGCGCCGCATGTGACGGTAAAGCTGAGAGCTAAGTTCTTTAGAAACAAAATGCCAATATCAGAGGCAGGAAAGACACACATGATTATGAGGTGGGGCAACACGGTTTGATAACTGCAGCTGACCTACATTGTGTGGTCTGCATGACAAGTTGCGACCGTGCTACATCGGATCGTCCAAATAGAGCAGCGGCTCTACCTGAAATTCCCCTCTGTTCTAAAATAACGACTCGATTTTGAGCCGCAGAGGGTGCCTCAAGCCAGTCAGCGCGATACTGCGGCTCATGAGCAAGATCTGATCTGACTCGTCTCGATTCTGGACGCACTCCGTGACATTCAAAGAATATCGACGTATCGCCAAAATTAATAGATCTGACGAGAGCCAGCCGCGGGAAGATTGACCTCCGCTGGCACTGCTCGGTGATCAAAAGGTGGCATATTAGAAAGACCGATGGATGCACCAGTGTTGTTCCCATTTTCTGATGAAGTGAAGAAAATTTGGACAACCTTAGGAATTTGATGATCCAGTTTCACAATATTGCCCTGGTGTTCTTGCCGTTTGCCGCCTAGTACCCTCTGAGCGTTTATTTTCCTTGGAGAAGAAGCCGGGTCGTCCATCGTAGGATGCTTTCAATTAGCTGTATCGATCACCTTTGCACCAGAATGTCCAAGATACTTTCATGATCTCCACTAATAACTCGAGCGGTATCACATCATGAAGTCATTAGCGGCGAATAGAGAGTTTATGAGAGAGGAAGCGTTGTGTTGGAGACAAATGCGCAAATAAGCGTATAATTCTTAATAGGCTGGGCATTCCATAGGTGTGCAAAACGGTTACGATGCTAGGCTGCGTCGTAACAGATTTTTATAATTTAAAATGACGCTGCCTAAAACTCACTAAGATGTGTTGGGTTACTTGGTTATTTTCGAATCAACAATTAGTGTACTGACAACAATTCATGGAAAGTATATCACTTCGCATTAAGAAAGTTGTAAGATGGACAATACTACTATCGATTCATCAACGGGTCAAAGCTGTTTTGTGAGCGGCTGACAACGTCTTGTTTTGAACATCGCATAAGTCTACACAGAACATATTTACTCCGAGCAAAAGTAACAATAATACTCCAGCGCATAGGTATTTCCTTTACTCACACCTTTTGTAGTTGTCTGCTAAGCACTTCTATGGCCTACTTCACCACTCGAATAGGTGAAGGGGTGACATCAGGAGCACCAGCAATTTTCCCGGAATTTAAGTCATGAAACGAATGAAATCAGACTGACAGAATTTATATTTTTATTTCTATATATGTTTTTGCAGCACAAACAAAAACATCAGTATTCGCTTAATTTTAAACTTCATGCGCCAACAAACAACATAAAACTACGATACTACGACATTGCAGTTTCTGACAAAAATAAAGATTACAGTTTACTTAGATCAAGAGGGAAAAGAAAATATAAGTATTTCTGCAGCAAAAGTTCGTTGTTTAACTCGAGTATGCCGGTTTCAAACTAGGTATTCACCTATCCATGACATGTCAATACGCGAATGATGAAATTGTGGCACTTTGCGCGACAATTAAAACTCTCTCTCTTACCATACGTCAGTGAAAAAGCTCATGAATCAGGCCAGTAGTGTTGGCTCTTTACAGACACATTATGCCCTATCTTTATGTGTGTGGACCTTTGAAGGCATACGATGTAACTCTGCTCGAAACACGCCTTTGATCTGAGATTATTTCATTATTCTGAACTAAGGATATTTCTTTTGCTTTGTCGGGCTAGTGAACGTTGTCTGTAACATAACATTGTCATGTTTGTAGTTTCCTACAGTTATAGGACTGACTGGATGCTTTATCACAGGAATGCTTTAGACTCCTAGACCGTAGAAGGCTATGGCTTGGCAAGAAATAGACGATGGAGCGATATCTTAGTGGGGCTGTTTGGCGGTTCTGTCTCGGGTATTAGTGGTAACACCCACAACAATTCTTAATCCCAAAAATTGATATCATGAGTTGTACTTCAAGTAAAGAGAAGCTTAGACTACAATTACAAGACGTTATCTTGTCCAGCAAATATAAGTGTTTCGTTCCTGAGGGCACAGTGCAATCTCGCTTCAAAAGTAACCGGAAGAATATTGGAATTCCGAGGCACGTTGACCCCGCCGAGCATGTCAATAACAGAACTCCGCTCCACACTAAAAACTTTTGGAGTGAATAACCGAAATTTTACTAGCACGCTAAACTGATCAATTTTACAGTTTTTTCACTAGCTGGTCAAGTAAGAATCAGAGGATCAAGGATTCTCTTGTAATGTCTGTTTGCAGCATCGACGAACAGAAAAAAACTTTGAAAATTGGCTCCCAGAGCCACTTGTCGACTGACAGTTTTTAGCATTACAACCAAGGAGATAAAAAGAGCAATAACTCGCTCAAAGCGTGAAGCTCATTCTCTTTAGGCAAATCGTGATACAGATCGTCGTGATATGAAGAAAATCCCCTGGCTTCACCATGTTGTGAGACACGTCCTCAACCTATTCGTAGCGATGGAGCTGCGACATCTTTTCGGCTGACGTTATCATCTCAACGCTGTAAATTACCCTTTTAGAACTTTCAGACTAGCAGATATAGTAAAGCTTGGCGAGTCCAATTACACAAATTATTGTGGTCCAACTAGCTATTACATACTTCGATGAATGTATTAGTTCGGCACAATCGTGCTGCTGCATGTGCAGATATGTCGACATCATGCAAATCCTTAGAGGGACGTCGATAAAGGGTCCATGAAATCATGATCGCGAGTGAAATGCTCATTTGATTGACTAAGGCAAATTTTGTGATTGGCGTGATATTCCCTCCGCTAGCCGCTCACGCAGCATAGAAAAATAGATACTGTTCCAAACGCGGCGGAATGAACAAGTTTCAAAACACCATCTTTGCGCATTTACTGTATGCTACCATTCTTCATTTTTGCTAGTGTACTTCCTCGACGTTGGTATTTTCCTCGACTCAGGATGTTGTATACCGAAGCCAGTATGTTTAATGAGGCAAGGCTGAATGTGCAGAGACTACGCAGCTGCATTGTCCAGAATCAGCTCTCATGATGCCTTGGTTCAGATCAACCGAGCTTCATCCGCTGGAAGTCCCATGCCGATACTGGAAAGATACGCTGGTTGTTGTGCACCCCACGGAGCACGCAACATGACGAGTTTGTCCCAAATTGTCGTGAGCTGGCTGCAGCAGGCGTCGACACGACCATGATTCTTTTTATCTGTTTATTGTTTTATCAGCAAACGATTAAGCTGAAGGATGTGTTGACGGGGCTTGGTTTAGGCGTCTTCTCAGGACACTTGTCGCCATAGTTTGTCATATTTGGCATCTGCAGCAATTTCCTGAGTCTATACGATTGACGCGTCCTTAGCTTTAAAAATTAAGGTTTGCTGTACAGAATTACCGTATAATTGTTGAGCATCAAGTTAAGGTGCAGGAACTTACAGCAGTATGCCACCAGCGCGGAGTACATCAGCACTATATTGCCGTTTCTGGTGGCTGCTGAACGCCATAACAGCTTCACTGAGGTTTGCGTTGTCACCATGTTTGAATGGCTGAAGGAAAGATTCGTCATCTAAGCTGCAAATCACTAAAATGGAGTGGGCCGCCACGCTGATGGCCACAATCTACGTAATAGGCCCGCTATGACAGTGACGTCTGATGACGAATACCTCGAGTACAGAATACTGTATGGGGCTTATGATATGACCACGTTGAATAGAGAAAACATATGTCTTCGGCGAGAGCAACGTATTGGTGGCCCTATATGAATAAGTGGGTAAGAACATATGTGCGCACATGTAGAATGTGGCTGCAGGTAAAGCCTTCACCGCATGCGGCGGCACCACCAGCTAGCTTGCTGATTTTGGCAGAGTGGCTAGGTAGCGAGTAGTTATGCATGTATTTAGATTTTACTTTATATATTTAGTAAAATCTATAATTTAGAATTAGGCGATTTAGCCGCAGATAAAAATAAATAAAAATTAGTTTTAAATTTAAACCGAAGCGTTTATAGGCTTGGTTAATGTAGTAACTTCTCTTGGAGCTAGCGAATTGCGATCCGCTACACTTGTATTTGTTCTAAGTATAGAACGAAAGGTCGGTGAACTAACTTACGCTTCTTTTAAGCGCAAATCTACGGCAGCTCCGCTGCACTGGGTAGCACTTGTAGTCAATCCACACCTGAGTCGTTGAGACTGATCCTCTATGAGGATGGATCAATTTTCCTCTTTGCCCCAGAGCATGCAGGACGGGCTTAACTAGCTGATGTCCTTGCTTGGCCCTGAGGGCGTGCAACACCTTGCTGCGCAAGGCCCCGATGCAATCGGTTCGCATCTAGAGGTGTTTTCAAATTACCAAAACGCGCTGCTAGAGCACCTGCAGCAGAAGATGTCTGCATCATTTACTTCTATGACGTCACCGTCAGTGACGGATTTTTTATTCCGTCCTAAGCCGCTCATGGTGAGCATCAAGGTCTTTGAGGGAAAGGATGGAGATAATCTCCTGTTCTGGGTGAGAGAGGTCGAGATGGCCATCGCATCCGCCTTGCTCCAGACCGAACAACAGCGTGTGGCGCTAGCCATCTCAAAGCTCGGTGGTCGAGCGCGAGAATGGGCAC